GGTAGGGAGCTGCTCCTGCCCTTGCAGTCATCCTCGCTGAGCACCCGAGCAGTGAGACACTGGGCTGAGCTCCGCAGAGAGGCAAAGACTCCTGGGAACACCGTCCTGGAGGGTGGCGGCGGTGGCGGCACAGCAGTGGCCTCAGGAGCCGGAGAGACACCGTCCTTCTCCAGGAGAGAGTCCTTCGGGACGGGCGTGCGGCAGTGGCAGCTGCTGCCTCGGGAGGGGCAGAGCAGCAGGGGAGCGGCAGGGCGGTGGGGGCAGATCCAAGCTGGGCCCCTGGAGGCACCCTCTCTCGCCGCCTCTCTCCCCCTCTGTGCCCTAGAGGGCCTCCACAGCGCCGCTGTCCTCCCAGGGGATGCCGGTGTCATCGCTAGGTCGGGCTGCTGGGTGGACGGGTGCTTGCTGTGGCGGGGGGGGCGCGGGCTTGGTGGGGCGGGGGGGGGGGGGAGAGGAGAGAAGAACAAAACACACCCCTGAGACAGTCGAGCAAACCAAAGGGAACCCTTCCCTAGCCAGGTGAGCCCCTGGCCTGCGAGCCAGGTGAGCCCCTGGCCTGCGAGCCAGGTGAGCCCCTGGCCTGCGAGCCAGGTGAGCCCCTGGCCTGTGGGCCAGGGCAGCCAGGGGCAACAAGCCATGCCAGGCGGCCCCCGCTTCCTCTCCGCAGAAAGAGGGGAGCCCGTGCCTGGCAAGTGCTGCGGAGAAAGCCCCGCGTTCCCGCCCCCCCGGCCTTGCTTGTGGGCTCCCCTTCTGGCTGTCCGGCAAGACGGGCTGGGGGGGGGCTGTCTGACAGGCCCTGCTCCTGGGTGCCAGGCCGCTCACCCAGGGGTGGGCACAGAACAGGCCCAAGGCTTGGCTCTTGTGAGCCTCCGCCTGCCACGAAATGTCCCCAGAGGGTAGGGAGCCTGGCTCTGAAGAAGCCCTGCTGCAGACAGGGTCCCCCCTCCGAGGAAGGGCACTGCGGCACGGCAGTTTTGCACTTGTGGACAGATCCGCATACCCCCAGCTGCCATACAAAGAAGGGAGCATAAGTAACACGGCACCGAACCCACAGCATCACAACACTGCACCAGGAACACACCACACACAACAGCCTCCAGCCCCCCCCCCCAATCCAGGGCTTGACGGGGGGGGGTGTTGAGAAGAGGTGCCAGAATGAGGCCAGCTCCATAAGCCCCCCCCCAGGTGTGGGTGGTTTAGCCAGGGGGAGGCAGATGCAGAAGCACCACACAGGCTCTGCTCCTGTCCCACTCCCCACCCCCCGTGCATTCTGGGGCACCCCCTCCTCTCCCACTTGCTCTGCAGCCTCCCTATCGCTTACAGGGATTGGTGAAGGGGGGGCCCCCGGCTCCTCACCTTGCTCTGCAGACCGGAAGAGCATCAAACCCTTCCTGGAGGTCTGAGCCTCCCCCCCCCCCCCCCATGCACGGGCCTGCTTCAGTTTCTACAGGAAGAGGGCCCTGGACGCCTGGCGGGAGCTGCTGGCCGACTTTGTGGCCTCCTCTTGCTGGTTATGGAGGTTACCGGGAGAGAGTGTTTGCGCACCCTTTAACTGTCCTTGAACTCTGTTTACAGTTACTTCAAGCTCTGACAGCTTGATTGGAGCAAAAATGCAGGTGGGGGCAGCCCTGCAGGTCTGAAGTAGCAGAAGGACGCACCTTTTAGACCAACAAGGTTTTATTCAAAATGTAAGCTCTCCTGTGCAAAGCACACTTCCTTCAGACAAGTGGGAAATCTCCTAAAAGGAAAGGGGGGGGGCAGCCGTTAGGAGGGGCCACTCAGAGCCAAGATGCATCTGTGGAGCTGAAACGGGATCAGTGGATGGCAGCAAATTAGCACGTACATTGCAAGAGTTAACAAAGAGATCATGTGAGAGTGGAGCTAGAAGAATTCAACACCCCCAAGGCAAATGGGGGTGCTGCTGGACGCTGGCTTCACTCTCACATGCTGCCACCCACGGATCCCACCCGGCCGCCACCTGATCCAGTTCCAGCTCCTAACGGCTACCACCCCCCCACACACACCCTTTTCCCCCTTGAGATTTTATTCCATTTGTCTGAAGGAAGTCTGCTTTGCACACAAACGCTTACATTTTGAATAACACTTTGTTGGTCTTAAAAGTGCCTGACTGGACACAAGCTTTGTTCAGCAATTGAGACAGTTGCAGAAAAGACACAGATTCGGGGGGGGGGGGGTCGGCCGTGTTGGTCTGAAGCAGCAGAACAAAGTCTGGGTCCACGGGGGGTGGGGGGGCGAGCCTCGGAGACCAACAAAGTTGAATTCTGACGAGGCGTGTGCCTCGCACACGAGAGCTTCTACCCAGGACTAAACTTTGTGGGTCTTAAAAGTGCCTGACTCGACTCCCAACTTTGTTCAGTTACGGAAAAGTTAAACTAACTGCTTTTTAACCGAGGTTAAGTGTTACGATTAGCCTTCTTATCTGGATTCATCAGACATAACTCATATGCAGCCGCTGATTGGCTCATGGGCACTTGTGCTGATTATCTTATGCTTAGTTAAGAACCAATCACTTAGCTAGATAGTAATTTCAGACCATTAAGATAAAAGGGATCTAGGACAAGATGATCTCTTTCTATAAAAATGGACAATTGTTCAAAGCAAATCAGGTTTATGATTTCCAGGATGGGGGGTGTCTGACAGAAAGACAAAAACCTGAAGCCTGCTTTGCTTTTACGAACTATTACTTGCTATAATGCTAGAATATGATTAAGCAATTTAGTTTTCTTAATTTTAGCACTTGTTTTTACAGTAACTGTAGGGTTAATTTTCACAGGCCCTGTATTTCTTACCTTTTTGCACAATAAAGAGAACTATTTCTTTTTTCAAGAAAAGATTAAGTCTCTGAAGGTTTTTGGTTTGGTCTATTGGTGATAGTTCAAAGGACAGAATTCACACCTAACCGTTTTGTATTACCCAGCAGCCTTTAACAGAGCAATTGTAGCGAAATCTGCTGCTAGACGTTTGCATAGGCAAAGTCCTTTTAAAATTGTTCAGCCCGGATCCTCTCATTGGATGCGGGAGCAATCGTCTGTGGGGCAGGAAATGCACCCTGCACCTGCGCAGAGGCAGCTCTTCTCGGCACTCCCCAGAGGACGGGGGCCCCTCCCTTTGGGACAAGAGTGAGTTCCGGTGAGGGACACGTCTGGTGCTTTGCGGGGACAACACCAACCCAACGGCCCAGGCGCCCCTTCCCACACCCCGACTGACCTGGGGAGGCGGAGGAGTCCGGACTCACCGTCAGCAGGGCGGCCTGGTTGTCGGCCAAGGCCTGCTTGGCCAGGTACCTCTCGCGCTTGATCTTCACCCCCAGGGACTCCGGGACGTCCGGCACCACCCAGTCAATCAGGCGCAAGCAGAAGAACACCACGTGCTGCCGGGGAAGGGGAGGGGAGGCCACTCAGCACGCAGCCCTCGGGGACTCCAACCTGGGCTCAAAACCGCACTGCAGGCACTTCCCACGCCTCCCTCCCAGCGAGTCCTGTGAGAGGCAGGCCAGCATCACCCTCTCCTCCGCGGCTGCAGGCAAAAGGAGGTGACGGCCTCGCCTCACCCGCACGGTCACGGCCCAGGCGGCTTGGCCAAACCCAACCGCAAACCGAGCCCAGCCCTTCCGGGAGAAGCCGTGGAGGGAGCGGCTGGCAGCACCACTGCCCCAGGTGGACTGCGAGGGTGCGCCGGAAGTCCGGCAGGAGAGGCGGCGGCTGAATGGGCTACACAGAGGAAGGTGCTGGAGGGAGAACCAGCGGCCAGGCGGGTCAGGGTGCGGGTTGGGAGAGAGACTCCTTCCGAGGAGTAGCTGGGAAACCCTCTCCGGATTCAGAAGAAGAAGAAGAAGAAGAAGAAAAGGCTGGATTTATACCCCACGGCCCTTCACTACCCGAAGGAGTCCCAGAGCGGCTGACAAACTCCTTTCCCTTCCCCTCCCCACAACAGACACCCTCTGAGGTCGGCGGGGCTGAGAGAGCTCTGACTGAGAGAACTGCTCCTGAGAGAACTTGTGACTGCCCCAAGGTCACACACCAGCAGCTGCAGGTGGAGGAGTGGGGAATCAGCCCTGGTTCTCCCAGATTAGAGTCTGTGCTCCTCACCACGACACCAAAGTGGCTCAGGCTCTTCCACTGCTAAGGGCAACACAGGGATTCCCCCTGACTCCCCTCGAAAGACCAGCCACAAAGCAGTTTGCAGGACAGAACTCGCCACAGAGGAGCCAGATGAAAAGCCCCCCCCCCCCCCCCAGGCAAGAAAGCCGAGGGACCCCTCCCAAGGTCCTAGCACCCACACAGCGCCCGGGGTGTGTGTGTGTCAAGGTTCCTTGCAACACTGTGATGTGCCCCAGATGAGTGACCGTGCGGGGCCCTGGGGAAGCGACGCCTCTCATAGAGCACCTGCCGCACCAGCAGACCCCATGGCGAGGGGAGCCGAGAGGTGTCCTGGGGGCAGCCGGCAGCCTCCGCGGGCCAGAGAGGGTGGGGCTCGGCTTTCTCAGCACGGGGGAAGCCCCACGCCTGGCTGCCACAGCCGGGGAACGGAAGCGCCTCAGGCATTATGGGGGGGGGGGAGAGTGTGGCAGATGCAGTCGGCCCCGCCCCCGGCTCCCCCAAGGCAGGCGTGTGTGCTCCCTCCCTCGTGTGCCACCCAGTTTGGGGGCCGGGGGGCTTCAGCTGGTGAGAGGCAGCCTGCCTCCGGGGCAGGAGACTGGCAGAGAAGTGCCCGCCCTGCTCGAGAGGCTGGGCACAGCCTCTGGAGCCCCAAGGAGTGTGTCAGTCCGTGGCAGGGGCGGGGGCGGCCGTGGCACTCACCTCAAAGGTGATGATGAAGCCCAGCCGGACAGCCAGGAGCTTCCAGTAGAAGAGGGTGTAGCTGCCACTGGCGTCCCGGAAGGCCTTGTACCTGCGAGGGGGCGAGAGCGGGCAGGTGAGCAGGGAGCCCCTGCCTGGGCGGGGTGGGGGTGGGGCTGGCGGGGGAAGGCGCGGCAGGAAGTCGGAGGTGAAGGCGATGAGGAAGGCCTGGGAGGGGCCACAAAGGAGACAGGGGGGCAGGGGGAGGGACTCAGAGGGCCGTTCCAAACACTGCCCCCTTGAGCCGCCGGGCTGGTATACGGGCTGAGGGAGAACTACCAGATACCCCGGGTGGGTGGGTGGGTGGGATCGCGCCCAGCCCCTTGGCTTCAGGCCGTGCGCACGGGGGCAGACATCGCTGGGCTCAGGCAACTCTGCCTGAGGGGCCATGCACACGTGCTATGCCCCCCCCCTTCAGGTAGGCACAGAAATCAGACCCCAGGGCCCGTGACCAGCATCTTGTCTCCGGGCAGAGCTTCTGGGGTCCCAAGGGGGCAACACAGAGTGCTGAAATCCAACAGGCGCCGCTCTCCCCACCCACCGCTATATCTGCATGCCAGGAAAGAGGCTTCCCTGCCTGCCAGTGCCGCGGCTGAAGACACAGCGGGGGCTGCCTGCTCAGGTGGGAGGGGGAGCAGGAGAGGAGCTGTTTTGGGACCGGCTCCCTGGGAGGACCCTCCGGCCTTCCTCCCTACTCACGTTGACGATGACCGAGATGTGTGCCAGGACGTCCAGAAGGAAGAACCAGACGCTAATGCCCTGGGCACGCTCAGCCACCGGGCGGCGGTACTCGCACACAAATTTCTGGGCATCTAGCCGGATCTCCACCCAGTTGTTGAGCAGGGCAAAGAGCGGAGCCAGCGGGAAGGCCGCCACAAAGATGGTGATGAAACCAAACTGCAGGACTGTGGGACAAGGACGGAGCCCAGCCGTAAACCGCACAACCACCTTGCAAAGTAGGCCCGCCTTACCACCACCACCACCCCCCCCCATTTGAGAGCGAGTGTACGTCGGGCTCAGCAAGACAGAGCAACCTTCCCCCCGGGGCAGCCGCAGGGACAGTCGATCAAGATCACCAAGTGCCTCAGCGTCCGGACCCCTGCCCGACGCACACAGCCGCCAGAGAGCAGCTCCCAAGCAGGGCGGGCCCCGCGGAGGCTCCCCCAGGCCCTCGGCTCACCCATCTCCAGGTACTCCTCAAAGAGGCCCTCGCATTCGATGAGCTCAAAGTCCTCCTCCCAGCGCTTGGGCTCCTGGCCGATCTGGCCGCCCTGCACCCGGGCCAGCTTCCGCTTCTGGCGCCAGGCCTTCAGCTTGCTTTGGAGGGAGCAGACGGGGGACCGCTGGCACGACG